TGCACTTGCTTCCGGCTCCCTCTCGGAGACTCGGGCCAAAGGCGCCCTCGCCCTCCTCAGCCCCGGGCTTTGGTGCGCGTGGCGGTGCGGGGCCGTGTTTACTGTGGTGGGGTCTGGGCTCGTCTCTGTAGGTGGGTGCGGGAGAGGCGCGGGCACCGAGACGACGAGCCCCGCCGGCGACCCGGGTGTGCGGAAGGTAGACTAGAAGCGGGGCGCGGGCGACGGAGAGAAAGGAAGGGAAGCACGAAGGAGGGGGAATGGAGGCCGAACTCCGGAGCTGTTGGGCGGGCAGGGGGACGAGGGCCGGGGCCCAGGAGAACGTGCTGGGCAGCTGGGAGCTGTCGGGGAAACGGCGCTGGTGGGAGAAACCGGGACGCCGAGGGAGCGGCTCCGCGGGAAGGCAGGCGCTCGGGTCCCCCGGGTCGCTGCCCGAGGACTCGGGCCGCCCGCCCCACCTCCTACCTCCCGCGAACGGCTGACTCAGTCCTCCAGGCCCTTCCCGATGCCCCCTTCCCCAGCTCCCCAAGCTAGAAGGGCCCGAGGCCGTCTCTATGGCTCCACCTCTTTCCTCGGGGGTGACGCCACTCTGAGTGACGACATCACCCACCAATGGGCTCTCAAATTACGGGGAGCGAGGGCGTCCTTCGCGGTGGCATCCCTGGAGGCAGCGAGGTCCAGTTCCCACCCGTAAAATGACTTTCTTCCCTGGCGGCTTTAGTTTAGAGAGACTGTGCTCGGGCGTGGGGGAAGGGAGGCAAGACTGACGTTTTTCTACCTGTCCACCGTCTCTAGGTTGTGGACCAGTCGTCCTCGACACCCTTCGTTGAAGGCCGGGGTAAAGAAGCTCTTACTCCCCGGATAGCCCAGCAGGCCTGATAGTCGCCATGGTAACCATCTTGGAGTCGTGAATTACATCACTTTCCTGTCTTTCCTTCCTTCCCCACCCCCTCCAACTGTGCAACTGCGGCGGAGGGAGCATTGGAAAGAGGGAGTGGCAGAAAGGGCGGGAATGGTAAAGAAAACATCTTTAGCATCCCTCTGGCCCAAAACTGGAAAGCTGTGTAATCTGAATTTGCATTATAAATATTCTCTTAACAGGCATTGTTTATGATCAGTACTTTCTGTAAAAATCTCAAGTAATATTTAAAATATATATTAGAGTAGCTGTGCGGGTTTTGGGGGGCACTTCAGTGCCTAGGATGGGCAACTGAGCCATCTTGGGAATGTGAAAGATCTAGAAATGTTCTCACTCCCTAGTTATCTCTACTCATCCATTTTATCTACCTCTAAAAAGAAGAAAAAAAATTTAGTGGCTCTTCTGTGACTAAAGCCAGACAACAAGGAATACCTTTCTCACAGAGAGCACTTCTCTTAACATGTTAGCTGACCACAGACTTTACTCATCTGGGCTGCACATTTGTAAGAATGAAAGATGGCGGGTATTAAATTTCAGAGTTTTTTTGGGGAGGGGGGGTTGTTCTTAAATACATACTGCTTTTAATCCGCAAAGCATTTTCAGCTAGTAGCTAAATGGATCAACTATGTTAACTAGGCAAAACTTTTCAGTTTGGCCACTAGAGGGCCCTTCGTGCATGTGTGATGCCCAACTTTCCACGTAAAGGTTTCACTTCACATTCTATGTTTACTAGATTTAACAAATTCTATAAAGCTTTGGTCTTTTTACGTTTTTGTTTTGTTTTCTCCTGAAAATTCCCGATGGTAAATTTTGAGCTCTAAAAGTCTAGGCTATAATTTTCACATTAATTTCATAAATTAATCACTGCACAACCATGTACCATACTTTTCTGGAAAAGATAAAGGATGCAAATATATTCCCCTGAGTTCGCTGGGAGACATTTTATACCGGGAAATATTCTTATTCATGCATTCTATTCACTTACAACCAGGCACAGTGAAAAGCATTAAGTATTCATAAACCAGATGCATGATTCCAAGATCACTATTTGAAAGATGAGCTTGATTTTCTACCATGGCCATATGTCAGCAATCCTGTTCTGCAAAGGGAAGGGTTAAGAATCTTTCTTACTGAAATTCATTTCTTCAAAGCAATGTCTGCCTTCTCCTGTTTTTAGGACTGGCGACTTTTTGACATTCAGGATAAGTGATCTATGATGTAAGGAGTTTTAGTTATAATCTTTTAAAAAGAAACAAAAAATGTTTTTCTCCCTAACTCTGGTCCTGATTGTTAGATTGCTGTCTTAATGACCTGTTTGCCCATTTTCTTTGAAGAAGAGAAGGCATATTCTCTTCAGATGTTAGATGCTAAAAATATAGTTATTTTAAATGGCCATTTCCCTACATATGGTTCCAAATCAAATGTTATTAACAATGTATTTTATAATGTTTTGCAGAAAGAGACTATGCATCTACTTCACATACCCTTAATTTTAAAGTTAGCATAGTTTTAGAAGAAAATCAAAATAAAATCCCCAGGGACAACCAGATTCTCCTCAAGGGGAAAATCCAGGTGTCTGGTCAAGGCAACAGTTTATCAACAAAACAAGGTAAACATGGGAAGGTGGAAAAGAAGGGTGGAGGTAGAAAGGATCATAGGAAAAAAAGAAAAAAGACCAATTTAACCTTTCTTCCCAGGAGACTGAATCAAACTCTTTGGAGGTCTGTGTTCCAAAAAGGCATCTAGGAATTTAAAACAAAAAATGTGATTTTATTGATTCCTTTAACTTTGGTTGCTACACATGGCATAGATACTACATAAGCATAGTTTTAGAAATATTTAATGATTAATTGTAATGGGAATGCTTAATTCTGAATATCATCCTTAGTATTATCAACAGGGTCATGTTTTAAAAACTAATACATAATTAGTAATCATTAAAATAATTGATCTGGCTCTAGCCGGTTTTGCTCAGTGGTTACAGCCTCCGCCCTCAGACTGTCCAGGTTCCATCCGGCCAAGGGCATGTACCTTGGTTGCAGGCTCCTGCAGGCTCACTGGGGATGAATGTGGGAGGCAACCAATCCATGTGTCTCTCTCACAACGATGTTTCTCTTTCCCCCCTCCCCCTCTCTGAAAAACAATGAAAAAAATATCCTCCAGAGAGGATTAAAATAATTGATCTGTAGGAATGTTTTAACTTCTTATTTAAGTGGTATTTAAAGATATCAGGAAATTTCTCGTAACTGTACCAAATAGATCCAGCACTATAACATCCATGGAGAGTATAGCATCTAGTAGTGATATGGCTTTATTAATCTCAAAACCGAGAGCAGAGTTTTGGTTTCCTCATCTGATTGCTGCCTGTGTTTCCTTGGTACATTCTCTGTGCTGCAACGTTCTAGTCATTATCAAACAGTCCCCAGGAAATATCACCAAATCTGCACGCCCCAGCAAGAACAGTTTACTGTGTCACACCCCCAGGTCCTTCCATTGTTTAACATAAATTTCCTAGGATGGGGAGGGCTAGAGGGTTACAGAGAATTTGTACTCCCTTTCCCTCCTCTCGTGCTCGAGTGAATTCTGAGACAAATGCCCTCCCATCCCTGTAGAGGGAGATCTGGCGGCCAGCCGCAGAAGGCCCAGGCACGGGAAGCGGGCACGGAGCCCCCTGGAGCCCCCGGGTCCCTCGGGCCCCGGGGTCAGGAGGCGCTGACTTCTTTCTAGTTACCCACAAGCCTCCGGGCCCGCAGCGCGAGCAGGAAGAAGGCGCGCGGGGCCCGGTGCCTGCTAGGGCGGTCGGCGCTTCCGTAGCAGGGGCTGAGATGCCTCCAAGGCCTCCAATGCGAGCAGTGGGGAGCGTGCGGCTGAAGCCTGGCCCCCGAGAGACGGGCTGCCCCCGAGGGTCAAGTAGGAAGTTGCGGCCACGGTGTCCACACGCAGACCCATGTGGAACAGGCGGCGCTGACAGCTGTCGGACGGAGGACAGCCCAGGAGGCGCATCGGTTGTTGTACTCTGTCCCCGTCGTCTTAACCGGGCGCCCGTCCCTAGGTTATTTCTAACATCCAGGGGTTGGAGAGCAGTACCACTCGGAGGTGTACCATACGGTGTTCAATATACGTGCTGTTATTAAGTACGTAACACACACGAGCACGATTTCACCGCGCACGCCCAACCTTGAACCTGCCTTCCCTGTCTTCTAGTTTGGTTTTGGGGTGGCTCCCCTCCGCACCGTTCCTTCCCGTCTCTGAGCCTGGATCGCCCGCGGTCTCACTTCTCGTCTAGGCTCCCTCGGGCTGCTCTCATTTCGGTTCTCGCTCCGGCCCCTCCTTCCCGCCCCGCTGACTAGCCTCTTCCTCCTTTTTGCCCCCCGCGCCCCAAACTCAGGACTGCATTTCCCGGTAGGCGCCGGGGCAGCCAATGAGCGGCTGAAGATTTGGCGGCGGCGGCGGCGGCGCTCTGAGAGTCGGGGTGGGGGGGCTTTGTGCGCGGCGTCGGTGGCGGCAGCGGCGGGAGCGGCGGCAGCGGCAGC